GGGGGGGGGGGGGGGGGGGAAGAAAAACATACAAAGAACGACACACAACGCCCCCCTCCGAAAAACAAAAAAAAATCAACAACAACAAAGCAAACCAAAAGAAAAAAACAAATCTGATCACATCACAGTGAAACTCTGAAGAGATGCGGGAGCAGGTCCAACACACACGTGCAGTTCCAGGCACCGCAGCACCGTGCGTCGCCTAGCACGAGGCACGGCGGCCGTGGACCATTGTGTAAGGAAGCATCGGGCAGACCCATTCCACGAGGCAGCGGCACTGCTTGACAAGCACGTGCCCCGTCGCGCGCGCATCCACGCACGCGGCAGCCGACCGCTGCACGGAGGCACACATCAGACGCGCCATGCCGAGCGCCTCCGCAAGCCTCTCCCCCACCTCGTCAGGCTGCCGCTGCTGCTGTCGCCCACCAACATCCTCACCACTTGCGCCCGGAACAGTGGCGGTAGTAGTAATGGTGATGGGCCCAGTGTGAATTCTTTCTTCCGCCGGGGAGCCGCGTTGCTGGCGACTCCGCCGCCGCCGCCGCCGCTCGATGGACTGTGCCCACGCGCGGAGCGTCTGGGCAAACTCCGACGGGGTGACAAAGAAGGTCGAGAACAAGTGAAGACCGGCAGACGAGGAGGCGGCGGTGCTGCTGCTGATGCTCGTACACCGGGGGTATCGCACGGAGCGGCGCCACCACGGCGGCTTTGCGATGAGTTGCTGACGGCCTCCGCGACTCGCCACGACGGCAGCTGCATTTTTGTCATAATGCCTATCACCGCCATTCTTGTCGTTCCTCTTGTGACGAGTTGTGGGCTTACGCCCGCTGCGCCGAAGCTTGGGCGGCTCACTGGGGCGAAGCAAGCAGCTATGCATTCACCCTCTTGGATGTTTGCATGACGAGAGCAACAACGAGAGAGAAACCAAACAAAGGTGCAGACGGAAAGTGAAGAAAAGAAAATCCCACCCACTCACGCACCCACATATATATATNTATATATATATATATATATATACACGCACATATAGTGAGTGAGAATGCCGCTACACGAGCAGAAGTAGGAGCAGGAGCAGCGCACACGACGTTCTTCACTTGCCAGAAACCCGGCAAGGACCAAACACATCCCCGACACCGCATTTGTTCCCGTCAACCACAGGGATAAAGTGAGACAACGACACACACACACACACGCACACACACACACAGAGACAGAGAGAGAAAGAGAGAAACAGAAAAGCCAGACACACTTAGAGCAGTGACCACAAATGGGGCAATGCCTCCTTCTTCTTCTGGTGCTTCAATGTATATATATATATATATATATATATATATAT